GGAAAGAAGCAAAGCACAGCTCCAGCTATTTCCTACCTTTGCTGCAACACTGCACTTTGTCCTGCTTAACGTCTCAGAGATGCAATGAGCTTGTGGTGCATCCAGGACAGTGAGTCGCACTCCAGTCACTGTGAAATCTGTGCCAATAAGCTGATCAAGCAGTTCAACATAAGGTGGGTGCTCTGAACCCCGCAGGATTATCCCAGGCAGTATGAGGCAAGTGGTCTGGCAGAGGGTATCAAGCCATGGCAGGTCTGATGGGAAAAGATCAAAACACAACAGATGGTTGTTTTATATCTATCCCTTCAACTGCTAGCCCTCTAAATAATTCTTCCCTGCCACAGACAGATAACTGGAAGATCAGAGAAATTCAGGCATTGTTACATCATTGAGGACCTTCACAGATGTGACTGCTCATCCCAAACTGCCACGCTGCTGTATGCCTACGTGTATGTATCTGGAGACCAGAAGGCAGCAGTAGTGACCCCATTTCAAGAGTCAGACAAGGACAGCTGCTGATTTGCTACAGGAGATACTATTCCATTTAATTTCTTCCAAGCAAAGAAATCTGTTAATCCAGCTGCTTTTATAACCCAAAATGTAATTCTGATCAGCATTCATAAGATTTAATGTATTTCATATTTTCCCTATGATAAATCTATCTGTCTTTTAGGCAGCAGCTTTGTGATAAGTATTTGCTGAAGGGAGAGATTTCTTTGTGTGCAAGAGCTACCTCTAGTGTTCAAGATGAGCTCCATAAAGTGAATGATGTGTCTCGCTCACTGGAGGCACTTACTATATTGTGCCTGACAATTCAGAGATCACATGTACTTGCTTTCCCAGGACAGTAACGCTCTGAAAAATGTTTTCTTAGACACTAACACATCAGGGTTGTGCACTGGTTTCCTTTTTCACTCTGCTTAGCCATCTTCAAAACAAAAACATTAAGAGATTCTCATGAAGCCAGAAATTCTGGAGGCAGAATATGAGATTTGCTCCCAAGACTAGGCTGTACAAAGCTTGTAGAATGCTTGTCATCTCTCCACAAACAGCTCTTTGTTAATTTTTTTGCACTTGCAATCTCTTCTAAAAATCAAGTGCTTCAGTCAGCAGACTTGTGCTACAGACCTAGTCCTTTCCCATTGTGCAGCACCCGTTGGGGGAAATACTCTGCCTGTCAGCAATAGCAACAGAGGACAGTTTGGACAGGGAACACCTGCAAGTCTCCTCTCCCTGCAGCTTTGTCCTCTGAACACAGCTTGAACTGACACATCAGACAGGAAACGCAATGATGTGATCACATCTCCGCAGTTACCGCAGTTACCCAGATGAGAAGGTCATATGCCCATGTGCAGAGCAGCCTGGTCATCTCAAAAAAGCTGCTGTTACGTACACACAATTACCAATCTCTTGTTTCAGTGCTCATATAACGGCTTGGGAACGTACGTAATGTTGTGAGATAGGCCTCACCCTTCACCATGTGCAACAGTTAAGCCTTAAACTTTCATGCAGTCGGTCCCTGATGTATTAGTGTGCAATGTAATAAAATGAGCTTGCCTGAGAAGATATGTCCTTATATGCGATTTCTGTCAGGCTCACGGAGCATGTGTAGGGCATAATCCAAAGCCAATATAAGACAATGGAAAGAATCCATTTCCCAAGGATTACCTTGGGAAAAATCCTTCAGGGAGCCTCTGCGTAAGAGTAACTTGGTGCCTACCAAGCGGCTATGCTTTTATTAAGACAGAGACAAAGGTCATGACTTACCACCATCCTCCTTGCATTTCTGCATGTGCTGTCTGGTGCACCTGTTGGTAGGGGATCAACCCCCAAAGGTGCTGTATCACTAAGGGTTCGAGGTGGGAGGTAAGAATCTGTAATTCTGTAGCATTTTTATCATGCTCTTCTGCCAGCCTACACCAATCTTATGGCTTTACTGATGGGGAATATGAACTGTAGCGAACAGTGTTGGCGCGCACACACACATTTTCCTCAGATGCCTATCCTTCTGCTTGCTGGTCACTTCAGAACACAAGCTGCAGAAATGAAAACAACCCAATTCCAAACACGTCCGCTCTTTCGTGAGCAGTGCATGGATAAATTACCTGGCCATTGCTTGCTTATAAAGGATTGGGATCAATCCACAGAATCCTGACATGGAAGCATCCATGTGTGAGTTACACTCCTGACATAAAGGGGTTGCATCAAAGCCTCTGTGTATACGTGCCTATCCAGTAAAGTCAACAGGCAAGGCCCAGAGAAGCTGTAGGCATCTGAGGGAACTGAATGACTTACAGGCTTGCTGAAGCCACAACTTCAAATCAAATTCAGGACAGAACTAACTGGAAGTCATTTTGAGCTGGCAGCTGCTCAGCAGCTAGTGGGAACTGAATGAGATCTCTGTCCAGTTCCCAATAGATAGGTGTCCACATCGGCAAAAGCACTCCCTGCATAAATGTTATTTCTCTACTCACAGAACAAAAGGTCTCACAATGTGTCCATCACTGCGGTGTCCTGGCCTCTTCTGTGGCAGGCTTTGAACAGACACGGAAACCATAGTGACCAAGCCGGTGTTGGAACATATCATAACAGTTCAGCAGAGAATTATCTGTGTTGACAGTGCCTTTTTTTCTGCAGGAAATCAGGTCAGCACTTCCGAGCAGCCCTGTATTTAAAGCCATGAAAACACAGGCAGCAGGAAGGCCTAGCGGGCAAACGGTTAAATGCCTGGACTCCACTGGAGCTGTTCTTTCCAGCTCAGCTATCGTCTGAAAGGACATCAATACCAAATCTTGCTGCCACCAGATGGTTTGTCTTGCTGTCCAATTAATCAATAACAGCCTCAATTTATAATGAGAGTTACACATTTCCTTACCGAGATCGCATGGTTGCTCAGAGCCAGATAAATTGAGTTGCCCTCTTGTTTTACGTTTTATGATCTTGCATTGCTTGTTGATTTCCAAACCAACTATGGGGTCACGTTTCAGGTTATGGATCTGCAGGAGGGAAGGGAGGGAGAGAGAAGCAAGTCATGTGAACACCATTACCTAATCAGGAAGGTAACACTTCTTAAGTATTGATTCAGGCAAGCTGTGAAGCTTCTGCTGGTGTTGTGTGCTCCTGTAATTGCCAGCCTAGAAAACACCTGTCTGTCTGGAGTTACAAGAACATTTTGTGTGCATTCCCCTTTATTGGGGCTTAATTCAGTATGGCATCTTGTTATCCTTTTAAAGATCCTGCATCCTGACACCCTTCTAAAGTCTCTGTCCCTAGATCTTCAAGGTCAGAAACTCAAGGACGTTGAGCATCTTTGACATCTTTATCCAGTGCTTCACTGGTGCATAGTGGTTCCCAGACTGTCTCTGAACGACCGGCAAAATGAGATCCAAAACTACTGAAAAGGAAAGACTTATTGTTTCATTTTAGTCACTGGCAAATTATGGTGGTTTGAAATCTGTAATCAGAGACCAGTACCTGCACAGTGTGAAGGGCAGGAAGAGCCAGAGGGGGCTAACACAGGTGCTAGTAGGCTTCTTAGTGCTGCCTATAATACAAGCCAAGGGGCAAAATCCCAAGTCTTTCTTTATGCCTCTAATTGAGGGCAGGGAAAGCTGCAGGCATGCAGCAGCTCTATAAACTGGGCCTGTACTTTAGACCATGACATGTCTTACACGAGTCAGCTCCATCCTTTCCAGTGCTGTGGACCAGCACTCCCTTTTAGGACACCTCTGCTGGCAAGGCACATGGGACAGCACCATTTCCACATAAATGTGGCAGTGGTTCCTGCTGTGAGTGCAGTGACGTACGCTGACTCTGGGAGGCATTTGGTATCCAGCGGGTTACAGTATCAGTTGTCCCACTTCACCTCAGTTCCTGAATGCTACATGAAAAAAGCTGGTTAAAAAACAGCATCTGGGCCAACTGTGTCTTAATAATTGGCAATGATGTTGCTGTCCCTCCCTGCGACCGGCTTACAAAGCAAGGTTGACTGAGTCTGGGAACTTTGGTTCTAAAGCATCAGCTCTGAGCCCTCCTGAATCTGCAGCACAGGTTACTGAACAAACAAATCTGAAAAAGCACTCGTTTTCACTGAGATCGTCTGGGCCAATACAAAGTTAGCACTCCTTGGTAGGAACATCTACAGAAGAAGAAAAGCTTGGCAGTTGGCGAAACACAGCAAGAAAGCATTATTTAAAGCGTAAGAGGACCCAAGTCATGGGATAGCAGGGCCAAAGCTATTGCTCTGACACTGCAGGATACTTTCCAGGAAAGCACAGACTCCTACCTCCTCTTCTTCTAATGTCTGACAGTCAGCGCAGCACAGCCCCTCTGGGAAAAACAGCTTCATATCCCGGACAGCTATTTGATAGGATTTGGAGCCTGAGAGATAAATACAATGAGAAGATTCTCTCAGGCCATGAATTAAACATTCTCTAGACTTGCACTCATCTTCCTGAGAGATTGATGATGTACAGCTTACTGAAGTAATTGCTTTAAAGGCCAGCTGTTCTGTACAATAATAGCAAACATTTAAAACCATTATATTTAGAATAGTTCCATTGTCTTCTTGGTATTTTGATTCTGCCCTATTATTGCTCACTTTGTTTTTCATGTAAACAACACTTCTTCTATCTCCTAACAGTGTTGTCAAGGGAATCTTGTCAAGGAGCCTCTGAAACTCTTGAAGATCAGCTCCAACCCCCCATTGTTGTTCCCATGCTTCTGGATCACATCACACTAGTCTTACTGAATGGGAAGGAGCTACTGGTTAGGAAAACAAAGGTGCTTAGTAATAATAATGGAAGTCCCAAATATGCTGGTGGCTCCAATTTACAACAGAGTAACAGAAATCAGAATTAGCAGACACTGCTGATAGCAGTATATTATTCTGTTCACCTGTGGTCATGAAAGGTAAATTCAGACTGGAACAGGCAAAGGGGAATAACGTGAGGATCAGGGAAGGAATGGTGAATCATTTGATGAATTAAAACTAAAAGACCTTGGCTTGTTTAGCCCAACATAAAAAAGCTAACAAGAAATCCGATAGCTGTCCATAAATACCTCACGGTGGAAAAGGTCAGAGAAGAAAAAGAACTACTTAAAATTAAAACACAAGAACAAATGTATCCAAACTGGATACGAATATATTTAAGTTAGAAAATGTAAGAAGACTTCTAGCCATCAGAGAAGTGAAGTTCTGGAACAACCATCCAATAGGGGTGAATGCTTCTAAAAGGGAATATATGATGGGGTGCCTGTGAGAGAATTAACTGAACTCAGCGACTTAAGAGGTCCCTCCAGGCTTAGCGTCTGAATATTTCCCTATAAAGCTACCGTGTTATAAAGCTCTGCTCCAAATGTTTTCAGGTTTGTGGGTGGAAAATGTTAGAGAAGGAAAAGTTATTCCTATATAACTGGAGCTCAGACAGATTGTCAATGTGCTGGCACAGGTCCATATTCCTGGGATACAAATACACAAAAGGCGAATATGCTCTAAAATATTATGACTTCTGCAGGCTACACATTCAAAAAATCATGTCATATTGCTCTTAGACCAGTCAGCCACATTTGGGACCTCATAATTCTAGGTATTGTCCTTAATGCAGTAGTTTACAATCCTACGATTGTGTATGTCACCGGTGTATAAGTCATTCTGTATTCTTTATGTCAAATCTTCCATTGGGTAAACCAGCGATGCCACTGCAGATCAGGCACAATTGCTTCCAGAGCAGAAGAGCAACATTTTACATTCACTTTGTTCAAGGCAAAAGTTTGTAAAAGATGCATGTATAAAAGCTCTTTGGGTTCAAGAAAAAGTATTATACATTGATTTCATAAGGCCCAGAAGAGATGGGAAGAGTGCAGATTTACCTCTGCAGTTGAGTCTCAGAGTATTAAAACGGCATTACTCAGTTTGACTGTATCATTGGAATTTGGTCTACATCTTACTTGAATTTCCCTGGTCACTTTGGGAGAAAAAAACACAGCTAGAGTTTGCTTCACTTCAGCAAGATGGCATCTGCTAGAGATCTCCCTTATTTGGGGCAAAACTGGGGGAACTTGGTATTCCCTCCTAAGGAAAGAAAGATATTCTTCCACAGTCTCCCAGATGATCATGCAATGATTAAGCTCCTCCTGCCTAACTTGTCTGCAAATGTTCCTCCCTTACTGGAGGACAAGTTCTTTCAGGGGCAAGCGGTTATGAACACTACTTTCCTTAAGGACAGACTTCTCCTCGGAATAGCAGGCTGGTCAAGGTTCCGTCTTCAGTTTGAATTACTGAGTACATTAGCTACAGCTGTATCCCTTTCCCTGGTACATGTGTAATGAGGGCTTTGTGAGCCAACCATTGAGCTGGCTCTGACATACTAACACATAATCTGGTCTCAGGGGTAGTGCATACAAACGGCGGGTTCCCAACTAATTCATCTGTGTGCCAGCCCCATCTTGGAAGGAAGGAGGGATTTGAAGGGAATCCCTGAGCAAACATCTGAGGGTTTCTCTAACACAGTGAAAACTCTGTGACCTCCCTTGACAGACAGGATGAGACTAAGCCTCCTTTGTTAATATAAACTAGTCTTTAACTGAGTTATGTTAAAGGTGCCCTAGTTCTAACACAGGTATATTAAGTTTTTGATATATGTTAGCCATTCTTAGCCTTGACTGATGAATTCTCATTCTCAAAACAACCTGGATACACAACCATTAATCCTTAAGACCATAAGAAGCAGGGTCTGATAGTGGAATAGTATTGGTTGAGCAGCCCTGAGCATTTCTTTTGTGAAGGTAGATCCTGCTCTTCAGTCACTCTCATGAATGAGATCCTGTAAATAATCACGGTGAAAGGTCTCTCTAGATTTATTCTTGGTCCTAAGTATTAGGATCATATTTGACAAAAAGAGATTCTAAATCAAGTGGTTGATTCTATTCCTCAAACTGTACATGGTGGATACTTCATTCCCTACCAACTCTCCTGAAAAGATCAGATAGGGATGAAAAAGGGGGTGATTTGATAGCACAGAATAGGGTAGAAAAAGCTAATTAATCCAATGTATCTTGAAAGAAAAATTCTTCTGGAACCTGAAGACGTACTGTTCCTGCTAGCTCACCTATGTTTATATGAACTATTGATTTTATCATTGTTATACGCCTGTAACTACAGCACAACCAGCACCACACTGAAGAAAAACACATTACTTAGCGAGCAATGAACTAATGATGCTTAGAAATTTTCATTTACATCCTTCACTCCTCCCTATGGCAATAGCCCAGGTCCCCTCTTGCAATGCCCTTGGTTCTCCATACACCCCTTTCTCTTGCAATATTTCCCATTTTCCCCATCCTCCCCCCCATACTCAGAGCTATCTCTCATCTCCCATCCCACCCTTCCAGCATAGACACTGCAACATCCTAGCTCCCTCCCATTTCCTCTGCCTGCTGCTGGACAGGCAGCAGCATGACCTGTGGCTCAGTGCACTGAGGATGCTGACTAGCTGGTGTGGCTGTGCTGATCTGCCAGCTGGCAAGTGACTATTAGAATGGAAAACAGCTGAGTTGCCCTGCTTTTCTTCAGTGAGAGCATTTTTTGGTCTTCTCTCTCTATCTAGACCTTACAGGAGCCTGATATCATGGAGTCTTTTACCCCTCTGTGAAACCTACCTGCAGTTGGCCAATAGGTTATAAAGTTATCAGAAGGACGCTCACAAAAAGAGAGAAGACAAGCGGGTGCTTGGAGACAATTACAAAGTGACCAAGCAGTCAAGAGACCAAAGGAAGACTGTTCTGGTAGAAGACATATCTGGGACTGTTCTGGGAAGAAATCTTTTTATTTATCTTCTGGGAGAATATTTCATAGCTTGAGACATATTCCGCTCAGCCACCAAGAAAACAATGAGAGCTTTCTAGGGAGTAATGGTCTCTACTGCTTCCCAAAGCTAGACTCGTATTGACAATGCTGGAGGTAACAGGACTTTTTTTTCCCCCCTCATTGGTATATCTGAGTCTTCAGACTTTTCTTTTACAAAAACCTACCATAAAATCCATTTCGGACAGCGTTGATGCCATACTGAGCCCTCCAGAGGAACGGGTCTAGTGCTTGAGCTAGCTTAGGATCCTCTGGCCCCAGTAAATCTAGCAGCTTCTTCACAGCATTTGGTCTCTGAAGACACAGCACAAGGGCAGAGCCTGAGGTAAGGTAGGTACAATGAGCTTCTAAAACAGCAGGATCCTGAAAAGAAATAATGGAAAGAAAACAGGTTGTAATAGTCAGTGTTGGTAAGTGCTGGGAACATCCCAGCTTTTCTTTGGCTGGATTCATCCCTGTTTGAAGCAAACATATCTGTCATTATTCCTTGTTTTCTCTTCTCTTAATATGCTAATGGTCTCTGCAGGCATAGCTTCCAGAGCATATACTATGGTAAGTAATCCAGTATTTGAGTGTGATATTCACCAGGTAATAGAAGGCCCAGTTCCCACCCCGAGTCCACAGAAAGCTAAAGAAAGTTGGGTGTTGAGCTTGTACTATAGTCCTGGTAGCTCATGATTATAGTCCTCAGGGTCTTAGATCAGCCAGTGGTAGTTGGTACACATACAGTTTCAGCAGTAATTTCCTAAAATTCTTTGGTAAGAAAGGAAACAAAATTTTGTTTTTAAAGACAGAAAAGCCTTGTGCTGTGTCATGTTCCGCATATCTACATATGCTAGGCACCAGAGGTGGAGTTCATTTTCAGTGGATAAGAACACAAATAAATTGCTACTCTGCAGTTAGCCATTACTCTCACCTTCTCACCTGGAGAAAGCACTCTGTGTAAAGATCAAGATATTTTCTGCTTGGGAAAAGTACAGTAGAGACAGTAATACTATAACACATAACAACAACTGATTATGTCAAACAGCCAGATTGGTTCTTTTCTTAAACCACTTCTAAATTGTTTATGGAAGTATTGTCAGTGATTAAAGATCTTAGAGATGAATGAAAATCAGATATTGTTGCTATGATCACAGTGAAGAAGGAGGATTCCTATCTGAAAAATTCTGCACAGCGTCCACAAGGCAATGCTAAGAATATCAGTTGAACACTGCCTATAAACTATTCTTTCCCTTAGGGGGTACAGAGAAAGGTGCAAGGAAGACCATAATGAGTAACCTGCAAATTGCCCATAGGGAAAGTTTCTTCCTGACCTAAAGCAATTTGTGATCAGTCATCACTTTGCAGCACAGAAGTCTGTATCCCTTATCCTAGCTAGACAGTCTCAGCCATTGCTGTCTCATTTACTGGGTCAAAGAACGTTTTTCTCATAAATGCTTCTCTGCACTGAACTTCTCTTCTTCTAGGAAAATACCATTACTGATATCATGGCATTTAAAAGAAGCATTTCTCTTAGGAGAGAATCTTCTTCCTTGCCTTGTGGTTAATCACACTGACTTGGACTGGGAAGCAAAGAAGCCTGACTAGAATCAAGGAAAAGAAGGGAGGTTCTCTGGTATAGCTTATGTAAAATGTAAGACCAGGTAACTGTAATGGTCTCTTACTAGTCCTAAAACCTATCAACCTGTGGACACTAACACATCACCAGGGCTGCTAGCAAGGTTCCTAACTGCAGGAATAGGGGAAGATTACAACTTGATCGAGCCAATCCACAACAGCATCGCTCTTCCTCTGAATGACTAAGGGTAGGGCTCAGCCCCACTGCAGGAATTTGAGAAGCAGAAGTAGTCTCTCTTGTCAGCTCACACGTCCAGTCAGGGTTCCCTATGCTACTTCCAGAAGACAGTGGCATTGCATACAGTTTGGACGGCTTTATGAAAGGATGGACGGAGCTAGAAACTGGAAAGAAAAGAGAGTGGCTACATTTCACAGTATATGGTTTGCTTTCATCTCTTGCTCCAGTTGTGATGCGAGTAGTGGGAGGTGAAGCCAATACTGATGCTGGCAGCAGTACTAGCAGCTCCTGAAACAAAGGCGAGAGCAGCGTAACCTCCAGTGCAGAGGAGCCATACGGAAGGGTTTCAGCATCAGTGTTACAAGATCAGCATTTACAGGGTTGAGACTGAGGAAAGCATGCAAGGCTTGGTCCATATGTGTGACAGTGCAAAACCATGGGTGACCTGGAGCACTTGAGAGGTGTCCTCTTCAGCATTCAATATCTATAGAGGGCTGTGGGTTCAGAAGTTTTGCAACTGCTTTTAAGGCTCAAGGTAAGACATGCTCTGCAGATGGTGGGCAGTCCACACCAGGCTTGGGATCGATCACGTGCAAACTTTTCTACTACTGAACCTTTCATTTGTGAAATACCCTTTTCTTGTTGCAGTTCCATCCGTGTGGACATATGGATAGGGTGAAAGCAATGGAAAACAGAAGTATGATCAGGGTCAAGAATGCTCTGGAATAAGGAGGCATGTAAAATGAAAGATTCCCTTTTTGATTTCACAGAAGGAAGGACCTCCCTGCCCTGCGGCTAGATTCCAGCTTCTAGAGGGCAGTATAATTTCATACACTAGTTAGGGTCAGGACTACAGAAACAGTGAGCTCAAAACAAGGAGGCTCAGGATAGGGCACTTGGCCGGGGCTGAAAGAAAATTGTTTGCCCTCCAGACTTTGTCCCTAACGTATTGTGTGCGCCATGGTAAATTTCTCTATCTTGGTTTCTTTTCCAAGTGTTGTCTGTTCAGCCTGTAAACACGGCTGGGCAGAGATGTTTCTCATATACTTGTGCGGCTCACAACACTCTGGGATCTTGATTTCAACTAAGAATGAGTGATTACAATAACTAGCAACTGCTGTACCAGCAACAAGAGACGAATTTGTAGGCCAGAGAGTGATATAATGAGTGAGAAGCACAAGGAAAGGTAGCAGGTACCCAGGGCAGAACGCTGCCAAGGGGCAGCAAAGCAGCCAAGGCCCTGCTGACTATTTTCTTTAAGCAAAGCCTTGGAAAGTCAGGCTTGTTGCACATGTTTCCACCGACGGTAAGGTCAGGGTGTCCAGCATAGCAGCTGCAGGCTGCTTCTTCCTGCCCCCTGCATCTTAAAAGGCGTCAGGAGCAGCCCAGCTCTGCCTCCCTATGCTCCACATGGAAAAGTTAGCAACGCCTGCGCTGCAGAGAAACTCTAGGCCAGCGCTGTATGTTCTATATAGCTTACAGACAACAGCATATTCAGCTTGTTGGCTGAACCCAACCACGGTTATTTACTCATTTCAATTTTTGAAGAGATGAAACCATGGGGGGAAAAACCCTGTTTGATTCAGCTGCGTCGCTTCATTCAGCCCTACAGGTTTTCACTCCTCTTTTTTTCATCTTTTAAAAGCACCAGAGTATGGCAATTTTCAAGATAAAAACATTTGCAAGAGAAAATCTTACCATTTTATTAAAAAATATGGAAATAAAATACTTCAAGACGGCCTTTGTTTTTATATCATATGAAACCATTCATTGATTTCGACCCAAATCTGTTCTCACTCACGTTCCTCCCAAACTGCATTTCTTAGTAGTAGGTTATAAATTGAAAACCATTGGCTCAATCCGGATGTTTTCCTGCTGCACCCGAAAACGCAAAATGATCCATGAGACAGCTCCACTCTTCAGCTGATTTGTTATGTAAGAGTTGCGATACAAGTTGTGAGACTTGTCAGTCCTCCCATCTCATGGAAATATAGGACAAAGGAAACCTTGGGATATCACTTACTTTGCATAATTGCCCAAGAAAAATGTACAGAAAAGTTTCACAGGCTGTATCGTGATAAAAGAAATGTTTAGATGTGGATGAAGAGCTTCAGCATGTCATAATGAACTGCAAGATGTCTGTTCTGTATAATACAAAGCAAACCCTTTTTTGCTGAAAACGCCTGTTATTTAAAAAAAATACACATATAATCCACTTATCCAAGTAGTCACCAGGACTTTTCTTTGGGAGCGGAAAATAGTGATGACAATTTCAGAAAAAGTTTCAAAAGCACTGGATATAACATATCAACATTCATTTGACTCCATGTCAGAAACAGCTGCAAAAGTTAAATACTGTTTCTGTTAGAAAGAACATTAAAAAAAAAGATTTTTTTCCAAAGCTTTTGAACAGTGCTTTTAGATTTAAGTAGCAAAGCTGTTTTTATTCTGTTTCAGCAAATGTGTAAACTGTGAGTGAAGGACTACATTGTTTCTATCTGCTACTGATGGCATCAGTGAGCCAATGTGATTTCTTTCTGATACATCCTCACACCCAGTCTAGACTCTACCAGCCAAAAGATACCATTATTTACATCCTGCCTCCACACTGTCTTCAAATCCTGTCCTTGCTGATACCTGAGCAGCTGCAGCAGGACTGCACATGTGCAGCGGACTGGAATTCAGTGAGCAATTCTGCTGATGCACACAAAGAGGAGGTTCTGGCTGTGCAATGGTTCTGGAGGACTAACAGGATTAAAAAGGAGCAAAACTGTTCTTCAGCTTCTGCAGTTAGAATTATAGGACAGGACTGGAGGGAATCCACCAGGTTATTGAGTCCAGTGACCTGCTACCACAAGCAATCATATCAGGTAATCCCCAAAGCAATGATCAGGTCCTATGTTAAATTCAAACTTTCTAGCTAGCAGCCACAATTGTGAATCTGCTGGGTAAGTGCAGAAAGGAGGTACAACCTCTACAGGCAGCTTTCCCTCTGCGAGCCATCCCTTCTCACAATCCAAAGGCTATCTCAGGTCATGGTGAGGACTGAGAAGGCAGTGTCAGCTCCATTTAGTTCATCGTTATTTTTATTATTATTATTAATCTTCAGATAAAAAGTATTATTGTGACTCTTGTGATTAGATAACCTCAGCAAATAGCAGTATTTAAGATGAAAATGGAATCACATTTCTGAAATCATGTTGCTGAGGATATTTGTCAACATGCATGTAAATAACACATTTGAAAGAGGAAAGGGATGCCAGGTAGCCTTGTGATCCAGCGAAAAAACCTAAAATCTGTTATCAAGTATTATGTACATAAAAGCAAATGGAAGGGGCATATCGCAGAGCACATGGGAGCTTTGTAGAGATTTCAGTGGATTTTGGGTCAGACTCAAGCTGAGAAGGAAACAGAGAATGCTGAACAGAATTTCCAGAAGGATTTGACACACTGGCTCCATGTTCTTCAACAGAAGCTGCTATATTTCAGTAGTTTGTCTCCTTCTTAAGAGCTCCATTTAAAAAACAGCATTTTATCCAATTGTCCCCTAGACTGAGAAACAGATCCACAATGAGCACCGCTTCAATTTAAATGCTTTATATGAAGTTCAGCTGTGAAAAAAGATTCTGCCCCCACAAGCTGCTACTGTTAAAACCCCCCCCTATTTTCAAAATAACCCAGTCCATGAAGCACGCTGAGGCTTTTTGAAAATCTACCTACTTATCCGGGGAGCTGAGCCCTTTTCAACCCTCATGAGTGAAAGACTTTCAGATGTGTGCTACAAATAAGGAGGAGCCCCTGTTCAGCAGAAAGCATTTCCTACTGTCCATTCCCGCTTGCCAAAGGCAGTCTATTATCTCTGTTTTCTCACTTTCAAAACCTGCTTTTTTTCCATGAACAAAAAACCAATACTCTGTAATTTTTAAACTCATTAGTCACCAGTTCTTCAAAGAAACTACATCAGTGCTCAACAGCTGCTCTAGTGTGCTAGAAAAATCCAAAAACAAGTAAAAAAAAAAATGAAACAACCTCTCTCCAAATTTACCCTGCAAATATATAGATAGATAGATACACACACACACACATACATACATACATATATATATACACACATTACTTTTTAGGGTAGACACTGGATTTTTTTATATTTTTTGTTTCAGATGATCAACTAATAATATTTCTGTTTAATCATATGATTAAAAAAATGTATTGTAAAGCATTTCCCCAGTAACTGTACTAGCCACTGCATCCCTCTTAATAGTGATTTGTAAATATTTAAAAATCAGATGCTTTTGCCCCATTTCTTTGCTATCATGCAGAAGGTATTCCTTCTTCCTGATTGCTGGTTATGTTAGAGCGCTACCTTCCTGTCTTCTTCTGCGAGACTATTAAAAAATTCTATATTTGTCATAAACTCTCCCAACTTAACCCAAAAGCAACATCTATTATCAAAACCTGTTCTCTGTAGAAGTGAATTGCTTGAATATCTTCATGGAAACAATCACATAACAAAGATTTTTTCAAGAAAAAAATCTAACTCCTAAAATGCTCAGCTTTCAGTGTCCTGGCTTTTACAATATCTTTACACTAGATTTCCTGTCACCATAGATTCTTTCATATTAGGCAAAAATGAATTTCTGATGTTATAAAAGAACAGAAACATAATTCTATTTTTAGCTAAAAAAAGCCATAACAGCCCATGCTTTAAAAATCCTCTTCTATTGGAAATGAGAGCAGCCCAATTTTCTCACTTTGCAGGCCATTTTTAAAGGCTTGTGAACACATGCTCCTGGAATAGCGATTCAGCTGTATATGTAATATAATATCAAAACATAACAGGGCTCAAGAGGTATATATGCTCCGGTAGTGCTAAGAGCGTTTCCCAGCTTCCGGTTTAAATGCGTGGAAGGAAAACCAGGCATATGTGCAGGGAGTGCAGTACGCTCCTAAAGGTGCCCTGCCTGCAATGACTGTGGGGAAGAAACAACGGACACCTGCTTCACAGTTAAGAATCAGCATTGTAAATTAGCAACTAAACAGATTCCTGGGAGGTCTGCATTTCCCATACCTTCAGAACTTTTCTTTTAGAGAAACCTGGCGTGTTTCTTTATATCAGGCAATAAAAGAAACTGTTGCCATGTCAGCTTTCTTTATATCTGACACCAGTGCAGAGCTGATTCTATATAGCTCACCTCTGACAATAGGCAGAAATCCTGGAAAGGAATTTTTGGGTTTTTTTCAGGAATGAATTATTCAACACTTACCACATTTCCCCATTCTAAACCCAACTATAGTCATAGATCTGCCCCCCCCCCCCGCATTTCTTTTTTATACCATAACACTTACTACCCCCCCTTTTTTTTTAAACAAACCTGCTTCATTTCAGAAGAAAGGAGTCCTAAGGCAACATCTGGTTCCAGGTTTGTGTGTTTCATCCCAACCACACTGAATTTTTCTAGGTCTAGTTTTCGGAGGATCCTAGCAAGGCTACGGGTCCAGGCACCAGGTTTGATCAGCAACACTGTGCAAAGAACCTGGGCTCCTGTAACAAAGCACAATAATGAAACCCAAAGCTGCTCCTAAAAACAGAGATAAAACATACAGCAATATCAGTTTACTACTCGGGACAGGCATCTATAGAACTGGACTACCTAACAGCTGGTATGTGGGTCACAGAAACTTGAGTGAATCAAACAAGTCCATAAAAAAGATGTGGATATAGCTTGTCTTTTCAGTTAAAAATATACATCTAGAACAGTCAGGTGTTAAAATATCTTTTGTTTTGCAGGAAATCTGCTCTCCGAGTCCAAAAGGTTTATCTGCAAGGTCCGTAGAATAAGACTCAATCCTTTGTATTATATATGAATGTTTTAAACATGATAAAATATTCTCTTTTCCATTTTTCATGCAAACTGTAGTGATTATGCGATGTAATCCTTAAGGCAGCTATCAATTTCTTATTCCTTAATTTCTTGGAGTCTTGTATCTGCTACAGATAGGTTTCAGAGAAGCACTAACAAGTACAACAGGCCTCAGGTAATGTTACCAAACTTATTATGAACTGAATTCTGTTTATTAAAACTGAAATTTCAGTAAAAATTTTTTGTTTTTGACAAAGCTCTCCCAACTGGGTTGCCAGCCAGGCTCAGTGTGCTATGAGAACCAGAAAACAAAATCGACCAAGATAGTTTTGCTGTCTGATGCTATAAAACGTATGAAAGAGCAGAAAACACAAACATTTCATGTTTAAATGACAACATTTTCAAATTATTAGTTTCAGTAATGTAAAGTACTGTATTACTGGGAATACAGATAAGATTTTATCCTAATAACATCCTTTGAAGATTTATTGGTAATTGTAGTGTTGGAACCAGTCAGCTAGGACCCATTAACTGCTGTTGCCTAACCATGTCAATTAGCATGAAGCATGAGGTAACAGGATTGCAGGCTGCTAAATTTGATCCATGACTATCTATTTGTGTACATAAAATGTCATTTTATGTTTCCTGTACACCGCATTACTAATTATACAGATGTCAATGCACTGAAGCATCAACAATGCTACATATAATTTGATGCATACTGTTATTTTCAATTGGCAAGAGGCATGTTGCTGATTCATGACAGAGAAATCTGGGATCAAATATAAAAAGCAAGAATACTGCTCCCCATTTGATATCAGAACTTAACCCTTATCCTGCTGGGAGATCTCCTATTTTCTTTACATCGTTCTTGAACTGAAAGGTTTAAATGCCATAGCAACAGCCTGTAAGTGCAGCAGCAAGCCTCTTGGATCCACTCAGCTGCTAGCATACAGAATGCAATCTAAATTGTATACTGTTACATAAGTGTTCATTGTCCTCAAGATGTTTTATTCACCATCTGCTATGTTTCTGAGCAAACATTCTCATTCTTGTGGTACATGAATCACCACTATAGATGCTGCATATTTATGTACTTCAAGAGAGATTTGTCTTATCTCACTTTGCCATCTTGGTCTGGATAAAGACAAGTGTCTAACATAGGTAGGCCACTCTAGGGTTTGCCCTCTAGGGTTGGTTTTCTCTCCTCTGTGACTATAAGCAACTATAGTTGGATAAAATATCTCTAACCACCAATGGAACAGTCTCTACTGATCAGGAATTACCAGAGAGGCCTGATTGGCAGCCCTCAAAAATGCCTGCTTTCCACCTTCAGTTCTGTCTGTTTTGTGGCCTTTCCAGGTCTGCCCACGTTTTCTGGTCTTTGTTATGTTTTTCTACTGCACAGTACTTTTAGATACCTTCCTCAAAGCCAATGTTTTTTCCCCAAAAAAGTATTTACATAAGTTTTGATTGCATAGGGTACTAGACTCACACTGCTGTGTTTATTTTATATACCATTTACATACCATATTTCAGATATGTATGTGGTTTAAAATCAGTATAATCTCAAGAGAAGCAAATACCAGATTTCCTGGCATGTTTGGGAAAGAAAATGTATATCACTATATCACTGCCTGTTTCAAGCCTAAGGAAAAGTTTGGTATACTCCTTTTGCTTAGTTTTTGCTGATTCTTCTAGGTGAATGGGTTCCACAAATGCCTTGACAAACCCATATTTTTCAATTTGCCCTTCTCTCACCTGCTTGCAAGTAGGTGAACAGTGATTCCACATGGCACCTCCAGGTCTCTCCCGCTAAATAATAAAAGCAGATATATTTGGGTAAGAGATATGCATGTTCTGGGATGATAATTTGAGAATACTACCACCAGCTCTATGTAATGCAACTAGCATTGCTATGATGTACTCTTGTTTTAAAATATTATACTGGGACCCACACCGCTTGATTTCAGACATGGTGGGAATTCAGATGTACTGGGAGATCCTGGGAATTGCAGTAATTATCACTTCTCCAGTCAGCCCAATGGCATATGCTGAAAAGGACTACAAGCGCTGAAGTATGTCGGTTTGTTTCTCAGTTACCTTTTCTGTGCATTTCAGGCATATATTGGCAAAAGAGGTTTTAAGCTACCTTTGCGTTCCCAATATTTCACAGTCAAATTGGAAGCTATCTGGTTTCTGGTATAAGCCTGAGAAGCCCAAGACTGTGTTTTATTTTTCCCCCTCACTCTTGAAAGCAAAGGACTGTATATTCTGACTGCACACTTAGTGAAGATCTGCTGGTCAGCCCTTTTCCCAGCTCTGCTGATAAAACCTCACTGACCTTCCCCAAACAGCCAAGAATGATCACTTCAGTAGTTCCTTATAAGAGCAGAGCAGTGTAAAAGAAGTCAGGTGTAAGTGAGCTTTTATGACAAAAGCCCATATAAAAATGTTTCCTTCAGTCTAACGTGAAACCTGTAGTGACTTGGAAAGGAGAGAAAAATTTAAGGCAGTTCAAGGCACATGTGAATTGAGAAGATATCTACTGGGATGCAATGTGGAGAAGCTTGCATCAGATTGGTAAAGGACATCCTTTTCTGGAGATCTTAATTGGCAAGTTTAACCAGTGTGAAACGCAAGGTAGATAGCAGAAAAGTGAAATCTGTCTGTCAAAACAAAGCCATTACCATTCTTTTGTATTCATTACTGTCTGAAATCCATGTATTTCTATTTCCCAGAGCACTGTATCTGGAAGTTATCTAGCCAAAGCGTCCTTTCCTTTTAATGATACCTTGCTTTGTTTCTACATGTCTGTCTGTCTTTCTGCTGGAATAATAAGAGCGAAAATAAAAGGCAGAACCAGCTCTGAGGTCCTTGCCTTATAGCCTTTTAGCTCACATCCTCACAGCACCATTTTTTTTCTTTAGCGTTGGGGTTACCTGAAAGAACTCCTAGGAAACGTAAAGTGCCTGGTGGCTTGGGTGGTGCTGTAATGCAATGGAGAGAGCCCCTGACTGAGATTGAGGAAAAGTGCATTCTGCTCTGATTTCTGTCACTTACCTGCTGGGCCACAGTGACCAAATTATTTCACCTCTCTGGGCTTCAATTGCCTACTCTGTAAAACATACTGAAACTTATCTTCTTTGAGGTCTACAACTGAAAAGTGCCACAAAAGAGCTGGGATTATTCTTTTAGCCTCTATTCCAAACCAACTCTAGATAGATTGTCCAGGCAAGCAGGGAAGAATTGTGTAGAAGAAAAAAGGGCCAGTATTTAGATGACCCTGGTGATACTACCACCTTCCCCTAGCACCAAGTGGACTCATCTGGCCTTTTCTTCCCAAGTGCACAGGATTACAATGTCTAACCAAAGGCCTACTAATCCCATGTTGATGACTGACAAAGGATGTAGAGTTGTATTTTTTCGTTCTATTTTAAGAATAAAAAATTATTTGTTTTTACCTACGGGACAACTAGCACATATTTCTGATCTTACCTTCAGCCCTGGACCTCTTGCCAGGTGGTGGCAGGTACTTCATAGCAGGGCGGTGTTCTGCATCTGTAACATGAAAGAGAAGTGTTTGCATGGATTGACAGTTGGAGGACCTTCACTGTTTGGTGGAGGGGGGAGGGAAAGGTAATTATATTTAGTTGGGGGGACAGGGATGCTGAGCTTTGAGTAGCTGAAAAATACTGAAAAGCTTTTCTCAAAAACAAAGACACCCCTTCCTTCCAAAACAACATCAAAAACAGAAAGACAAAATGAAATGGCTTTATAAAAAGGGTAGTGCAGGGTGCTGGAGCCTCAGTCAAAAGTACTGTCTATGTTTCTGTGTTCTTGACAATGGCTTAGGTGGGAAAGGCTGGCACTATGACTACCACCTCCCTCAACAAGCTCATCTTAGAGCTCGGCATTTTTCTTATCCTGGCTTTTGGTCTCAAGATAACTTCAATTAAGGGCAGCACTGCATGAATAGAGTTAGAGTTCAATGTAGTAACTGGGGATGTTTGATACCTTCTCTTTTTTGGAGACCTCCTCTTCTTGCTCTCCAATCTCTTACATAAAACACATACATATTTCACTGTCAGATCTACCTTTTGTGAGAACAGAATGAGTATCTTTCTCCTGCCACCATCACATTCTCTTCTTTCTATTCAGTAAAGCCAGTTTGTTATTCTGCACTACATAAGCACTGGCTGTTTGACACAGGCATATAAGTTTGTGCTGACAACAAAGGACCTTTCTTCCCCATGAAGAGATAGGGGAAAAGCTATAAATTACTACGTGTGAATGTGCTTATGAAACTCTGCTGCTTCCTTCTCAGTTGACATATGGAATTACCACAACCTTGATTTAAGTCTGTGTCTGAATAATCAGAAATCGGCAGGCTCAGAACTGTTTATCTTCAAGTGTGAGGAGTCAGGCTTCCCAGAGAACTTAAGCAATATGCCAATATATTTCCTATTAGAAGAAAACAGTGGGAGCTCATACCCTGTTGCTGCAAAATATCCAATATGAACACCACCACAGTCTGCACAGTGATTTGGTTTAAGGAGGTGTGGCTATAAATTTCTTGCTACAGGAGAAAAGCAGCAGCTTTACTATGCAGAAAGATCAGCGCTAGTCATATCACTGGAGTCTGAGAAGCTTTTGACAACAACAGTCTCCACTCTTCATGAATTGTTCATTCTGCTCCAGGATAAAGAGAAATACTCATGAAAATCTGCTTTCTTCTGCAAGAGCAAGAGGAGTTACAGTACCTCAGTGCTGCTCTTGGCTCTCAGGGGGAAAGCTGGACAGAGCAAGGGGAAGCAATATTGCACATATATGGGAAAGCAGGAGGTCAGTTAGACTAAACTTTATGCTGTTTAAGCATGCTAAACACCTCTGAGGACAGTTCATTAACACCTGACTAGCAGAAAAGCAACTAAGCTCGTTGGTAGGGCTACCTCTCTCAACTTAGATATAAGCGGTTAACAGAGGGTCTCTCACCTTAGGAGATGGCTGCTTTAAGCCTTTCAGTGGTCTGTGGAGAGAAACAGGCTACTCCCAACAGCAACACAGACCTTAGGTAAGCTGGTAGGCCTGTACAGGGCAAGATCAGGACGTCTAGCTTCTTAAGTGAGGCTTCATAATTAAGTGCCCCCATTTAGGTGGGATAGATCCTGGCCTCTGTTTCCCAGTTTCTCTCATATAAAGAGTATGTATACAGTATTATTTACTGGTCATGCCAAGAGCTTTAATGTCTATTTAGCATTTATGGGAATACTTTGAGATCTTCAGAGGAAGGGAGCCATGGCATGCATAGCCATATTAAATTAACAGGCCAAACTGCAGATGACCTCAGCTGACTCCTGCTGACTTAATATCCCTGATCACTCACCAAGTGCAGAATTTAACCCTAAATTACTGTTAATGTGTTTTTCTGTGCCTTAGCAGAACCCACAGCAACAGATTCTTTGGTCCAAGTTCAAAAAATTACCAAACACCCGCTCACTGAGAACATTATAAACAGTAAAAACAAGGCTTACCAGTTACAAAATCCTTCTCTGTGAAGAAGACGACAGCTTGTCTGAATGTCATCTCTGGGGTCAAGGCCATTACTCTCTGCAGAACACAGTTACTTTTGCCTAGCTTCCCCCTGCACGGTGCTAATCTCTCCAATGTCTCTGCAAGAACTTTGAAGGCGTTGATCCGCCGTAATGCACATACAAGGACCGGGTTTGACATGAGTGTATCAATGCTTCTCTGCCAGGAAACATCTCCAACCTCAAAAGGGGTTATTTCTCTGGCTTGACTTCGAGTGAGCTGGGGAAACCACTTCAGACCTAGAAGCTCAAATCCTGAATCTGGTCCTTCTGCAAGTCAAGACAAATCTGTCAGCTGACAGCATGTGTTTCCTAGAAGCCTTGCTTTTCTTTTGGAGACCAGTTTTCTAAATTTACACTTTTTTTTTTTTTTTTTAACTAGACAACTGGTTCCAAAGTTGCTTTGACTCCACCCCCCCCTTCCATCCAAAATGGAGTGTAATGCAAATACAGAAACACAGTGGGAAACACCACACACTACAACTGCTAGGAAATTACACTGCACTGAAAACAAAGAATGGGCTATCTGGGAAATCAGCAGGGAGCCACAGAGAATAAGTGCCATGATTTGATTAGAAAAAACAGCTAATGAAGAGGAATTGAAAGGGAAATGTTGCGAGTACAATGATAACAATATGCTTTGACACAGCCTAATCCATAATTACAGATCCTGTATTACCTCTCATAACATTCCATTTTAAGCTATATTTATTATAGTAATAACCTACAATTTAATGCTGACTTGACTCTAAAATAACTTTAACGTTCTGTTTGCAAAGTGGTCTTATTTCCAACGTAGCAAGAGATTTAGAGGTTCAGTTTATGACTGCATGTCGCTGGAAGTTTCTGTCAACTCGAATCTCCTTCCTGGCCTGCTGTGATATGGATCTCACTCCACAGTACTGTTTCAAGAGAGCAGGATACAGCATAGCGTAAGCCAAGGTGCCAGACTTCTGCCCTTTGGTAGTACACCATCTGTTTTATTACACTTCGGTAAAATCTGTATCGTAAAATTGTATGAAACCATCACTCTTCTTAGCACTTGACAGTACTCTTCATGCATGCATTTGTAAGCATTTAATATAAGGGGATAGTGTCATTATTCCTCTTGTGCACATGAGGGAATGAAGCACAAAGAGGTGAAGTGCCTTGCTTCTGATCACACAGGACGTCAGTGGCCAGGGTAGCACAATTTATGCCTTCTGATTTCCCGTCACCCCAATTACATGTACCCCAATTACACAACTGCATTACCTCCTGATATTTAGGAAGAGACAAAGTGGTCTGGATTACATATAGGTCTTGATATGCCTCAGCACTTCTTTGAACTAATTTGACACTCTCCGAAAAAAATGACGTCCACTTGAACCAACGTGCTGTTGCAAGATGGGAAGTGGCCTTGCCCATCACTAACCAGCCATGATAGATTCTTCACTGCTTTAGGCAGGTATGCAAACAAACCTGTCCCTCCTGAGGCCCCTTTCACCACATTTTTCTTCATGTTCTTGCTATGACAACAATAGCTGGATAGACTAGATTTTCCTGACCCACCGCTGCAGCCCTCCCCAGGAGCTGGGATCACCTGCATTCTGAGGTTGCTTATTGCCCCCAGGAAGAAGGATCTGGTGAAGGAGTTCTCCAGCACTCTTCATAGCATCCATTCCAGTCAGCGTTAGCATGACAACTTGCTCCATTTCAGGATCAGAAGCATATGTTCGATCGCATAAAATATCCAGAGGAATGTTACAAGGGTCTGGCACTGCACTGAGGTTGCCTCCTGCCCAGGGAGAGCAACAAAACAGGAGAGCATCAAAACAAACCTAGTCACCCCAGGAAAATGAATCTCTTCTCTTGTTTAGCATGAAGGAATTGACTTATTCTCTACTGGGCAGACAAAAGCCAGTGCCTCACTGTGATACTGCTCCTCACACTGCAGCTCAGCATGGCCAAGAAGTAAAGTATGCGAACCAGAAGCAACTAACAGTCCTTTGAAGAAATAATCCTATTCTCCATATTTATCAATGTCTAAATTTTCAATCAAATGATTAAATATTTAGAACCAGTGCTTGTTTATCAGTCACTCTTGGATTTAGAAGTCTGCAATTATAGCAATTAAAGTTTTAGGATCCAAATCCTTAAAATCCCCATCAAAATTCTACTGTGTGCATAATGGATCATCCCTAAACATCATATGCAGTTTTTTTCTGAGGTACAATGTAAAGGATTTGATTTAAAATTTTGTTTGGATTATCTGACCCTCATCTTTTGAACCTAATCTGTTATCCTCTGTAACACAACACTATTCAAATGTAATCCACATAAGAAAATATCCATTCTTTTCTCCTCTTTACATAGCATATATGGCACAGAAGGACGTGAATCCTTACTAACAAGTCATGCTCCTTAACTGGAATTATGTTTTGCCATGTAAAACAAATACATTCAACCCTAATTTTGGCATCCTTACTCAAATTGTTAAGCAGAGTGCATAGATTTATACCAAAAATGATCTAAGGTATCAATTTCAGATCGATAACTATCAACTGCCTTCACATTAAATTAATACTTCCTTTTGCTCTCTAGTGTATTCTCTGGCTTACACTGCATACAACTTAGGGCTAGATGGGAGACTGTTATGGTATCATGCACCTATCCATGGTCCTATCAGGAGCAATAGAGCCTACACAATCCCTAGGCTCATCAGAAGTCTGTGTGTGATTCTATACTGTTACATTAAATCATTATTTAAGCAAATGCACAGTTTAGCATTTATTTACTTATTTATTTATTCCTACCTCTTAACATTTCATAATAGTAGAGGATGGTTAATGACATGCATTAGATTATTATTTTTACTTATAATCTATGTGAATTTGCTATTGGACAGCACTATATGTCAATTAAAAATCTTAATATCCAATATTTAAAATAAATTAACAAAATAAAACTATGTTAAATCTGCTGACACATCAGAAAATATTATCTGTAGTTAGTGAAATAAACTAGTTACTTCTGCTTCCATGACCTCCAAGTGTTTAGAACTAGTAGGTCTAAGACTCTCATACCCATCTGAGTCATAGATTTATAACAGAAAACAAGTTTACTTGCTTTTTCAAATCCTATCGATTTCTCAGCTTTCAATGAACTAGTTGCTGAAGTGAATTCAATTCTATAAACTGAAATTAAGAACTTCTGAGTAAAGTGAAATGAAAAATTGCCTTCTCTGCACCTACAGAAGAAACTACAGCTGCCAACATTTATCCCTTCAGCAAATTCCAGTTTTATGTGCTTAACCAGCATCTTCTCTCATTTTAATATTTTGGCTTCCCTTTGAAACTGTCACAGTAAATATGTATTGAGTGGGTATTACTCTTTTAATTATAGTAGGCTTAAGGCTTAATTGGTTGTCATCAGGTCACATTTAAAATAAATTTATTTTTCTATATTTTTTTAGTTTACATCACAAAGCATATTTCCGTATCACTTTTCTATTGATCCTTCTGTTCATTACCCAGCTGTAGAACACATCTCATGAGAGTCATTATTCAGTATAACTAAAGGACAACAGAATGCTAAATGAGTTATTGTAGAAAACAAGCATATTCGTAATGTTCTTATTCAGGGAAATCCCCCAATAAAGTTGTCAGACTTTATAAAAGACAGAACAATCCATTTTGCATAGCTTTGACCTACCCAGTGTCTGCAGCAAGGTCTCTGTGTAAGGAGCCACATGAAAACACATTGAGGACTCCAGACCAACAGTGGCCAACAAGTTGCTCTCTGTGTCCCTAAGAAGGCCTTGTTTTGCCAGCTCATTCATCAGTGCTATGTACAAAACAAAAGAATATGTGAGGAATACAGAACTCTGTGAGGACTCTGACATGAAAATATACTTCTTATCAAACATTCTGAGTCACCTGGCCAGCGTCCCATTACAGAGACATTAATCTGGATCATGCCGAGCTCACCTGAGAAACATGAAATGTGCTCCCATCACCCCTCTCCCCCAGGTCTACAAGTCATATTCGCTTACCGCAGGGCAATTGGCTGCTGAACAATTGAGGCTTGGCCACTGCTTTCTCTGGAGACACTTTTGCTTTGTGACCAGCACCCAGTTGTCTTGATTACTTTCTCACCCCTGCTGTGCAATGAAACCTTTCATAAAATAAAGGCCGAATGAAAGGTTGAGCATACAGGAGTGCCTACACAGATCTTGAATTCTAAAAAGTGCCTTGAGTAATATGGTGTCCAAAAGGAAGAAAAGTCACAAATCTTGAGCCCAATGCTTGAGCCCAAGCTCCCCAAGTCAGGAGCAATACCAGTGTCCTGCATCCTATGCAGCACCAATGGCCACAGAAAGTGTTGCTAGGATTACAGTCTTTAACAGAAGCGTTGTCGCGTTCTGCTCATGTGAATCCCTGTCAGGAAAGTACCTGCTTTCATTCCACTTTCACAAACACTAAGCGCTTGAAAATAGCAATCTCTCAGTTCCTGTTCTCCCTTCAAAATGCCAGGTTATGCACAGGCAGAAAATGAAGGTGCTGGTATATAGTATAGTTTCATACGAATTGAGTCAACGTTCTGTAAAAACATTTCAGACAAAAGTTTTAAAGGCTTGTTTTCAAATTACTTTGTTCACATTTTATTGTTTTTTACTACACATGCCTATCAGCAATTTACTGTGGCATAGTATGGGAAATGGATTGTTAACACCAGACATTGATGGCAAGCCACATATGCCACACATAGCACTGACAGAGATTTGAGTTTCCACCAGTGACAATCAGCTACCTGTTTTTTAAAATTCAGATGGCACAAGTAACTAAAAAATGTGCCATTATTACACTAGAGTACTATCTGCTGTCTGTTCAAACTTAATGCACAGCAAAAAGTAAAGTTTGGACAAAACTTTGTGGGGTTTGATCCTCAAGCTGGAGATCCATTAATTAAAGACACACATCTCTGTGTTCTAGTTCAGGTATGATTGCTGAAGTTTTCCTTGCTTTGAAAATTGAACAATGTTGGGGCACAAAGGAGTGACTGCTTTTCAGGAGTGACTGCTTTTCAGGGGTACTGTTTAAAAATGCAAAAATTCTTAGTATGGTATTTATCCTACTCAGTTCCTAATGCTGTTCTATACTTCCCAAACAACAAACCAAAGCTTATGTGACAAGAATATCAGTTTCTACACTGCAGGACCCTGGAATAAGCTACCTTTCTGCATCAGTTCTGAAGCAATCACAGACGACAGGGAAGAGACATTTGCAAAAACTGTCTACAAACAACAACAAAAAAATACTGTTCTCAGAAACAAGGGAAAACTTTTTACCTTTGCAGAATGGTCTTTGTTCCAGCATCTGCCTAGATATTTCTAGTCCAAATTTCCCAGTGCAAAAGATAAACCCTCTAAACATCATCTGTGACACACTCTTTGAGTGGCTTGCCTCAGTTCCCCCAGAGTGAGCAGCATCTGTATTTCTTTAATGGCTCTAGAGGTAGCAGGTGATGCAGTGCTGTATTTGGTCTGCCATGATTAACCCACTGTATCTGAACATGTTTTCAGAGCATTCTGTGATAGTCTTGGGAGACAAAGCAGAGGACTTTCTGAACTGTCATTTTTTTAAAAGCTCTAAACGGTCTTTTCCACTGTGGATGGATCAGAAGAGGCAATTAGACAGTGGATGAATGTCTATACCCTCCACTCCTTCTCACTGGTCCATTAGGAGCTAGCTGTGGTAGAAGGGTCAACAGCTGCGTTGGAGGCTGTGCATATTCTGTTCCTCTTCTCTCAGTGGTGGTGTTTGAAGGGCGGGGGGTTCAGAAAAAAAGATGCAAGAACGGACTGTCCTGTTGCAGGCAACAAACCCCCTGACGGAGCAGGAGGAAAGACTGAAAGAGCTGGGATTGCTTAGCCTAGAGAAGAGAAGGCTCAGAGGGGATCTTAGCAATGTGTATAAATATCTGCCAGGGAGGGTGTAGAGAAGACAGAGCCAGACTCTTCTCAGTGATGCCCAGTGACTGAACAAGGGGCAATGGGCACAAACTGAAACACAGGAAGCTCCATCTAAATATAAGAAATATAAGAACAGGTCGCCCAGAGCAAGGGTTGTGGAGTCTCCATCTATGCAGATAATCAAAAGCCATCTTGACACAGTCCTGGGCAATCTACTCTAGCTGATCCTGCTTGAGCAGGGGGGGTGGACTAAATGATCTCCAGCAGTACCTTCCAACCTCAGCCATTCTGCGATTCTGTGAATTGGGTAGGGCGGGTTCTTTGCTCCCTACTAATCACTTGTTGTTAGTGATTTTCCCCCTTGTGACCAAGCCAGCCCATGCTTAAGAAAACCAAATACTCTCTGCCTGAAGCAGAGCCTCAGAACAGAGTCTGACTCCATTAAGAAGACTGACTTGGGGCAGAGGCTTTACTACTATTTACAGACCCTACCTAGAAAATGAGTTGCAGTGCACATGCTTGGAAGTTGGGGCTGCAGGGCACATGCAGAACTTGGGCCTGAAGTTGATAGGATAGCATACTATTCTCAGGCTCAGAGGCACATACATATTCTTGATACCCTAGCTCTCTGGGCAATAAGAATATCTAAGAGAAGATGAAGCCAGGCCCATTATGGAGGTGCACAGCGAGAGGCCAAGAGATAATGGTCATGAATTCAAACAGATGAGGTTCCAATATGACATAAGGAAAAAAAACAGTTCCTCATGAGGATAGTCAAGTATTGGAATGGAGGCCCAGAGAAGGGGGAGAATCTCTGTCCTCAGAGATTTTCAAATCCTGACTGGAAAGAGCCCTGAGCGTCTTAGTCTGAATTCAGCACTGATGTTGTTTTGAGCAGGAGGTTGGATGAGAGAACTCCTGATGTGCCTTCCAACCTGAATTATTTTATGATTTTAAGTTCAAAAGGACTTCAGTGCTAAAGATCAAATGACTGACAAAGATCAGTCTGCTATGTAGGATATGTAATAGTGGCTGATTTGCTGATTTACACTTGGGCCTGGAGATACATACAGGAAAACTATCAGGCCTTAATATTCTCAGTAAATCTTTCCTGCAATGTAACAGCTTTGGTTGGAATTTTAAGTTCAGCTCACACACACTGAAATGTAAAACTTTTCTGAGGTTCTTGAGAAGTAATAGCATTACCTTTTAGCAATGCAGGAACATGATGACTGGCGTTCTCCTTTCTCAGCAATAAAACTAGACAGTGCATACGTGGTTCAATAGAAAGTTCTCCTCTTTCAGAACTGGTATCAGCTGAACTTGAAATCTTGCTAGGGCAAAATACAGCAATCTGAAATAATGAAGGACAGATTAGACTACTAAATCCAGATTTAGTCACTACTGGGCTCAAGCAAATGGTCAAGTTACAGCGGCATAACAAGATACAGCACAACAGCTGAGCCATAGTAATTTTCAGTAACTGTGCTCATGCATCATCTATTCATAAGACTGAGCAACTTACTTCAAACCTCAGGGAACAGGTTTAATATAACATGTTTTGCCCTACAACTGGGCTGGGCTGGGTTAAGAACACAACAGTTACTATAACTCAGCTGATGTGCAGTACCACCATCCTAAGTCACTTAGGCACAAATGACTTCGAGCCCTAAACGATTTTTCAAAAACACTCAGCACCAGAGGCCCCATTAAAGCACTAATTGCTGCTACTGCTGTTAACTTCTGAAACGGCCATTTGCATTTAGGAGTACTGCTCCAAATGTTCGGCTATCTGGACTACAATATTCAATGAATAAGAGTTACGTTTATTCTACGAGGTATTATGGGCAGGGAAAGTGTTCTTCCTCAGGCTTGACCAGCGAACAAGCAGAAATGAGGGGCTTTGTACACAGTTCAGTTAGTGATGTTAGTTTGCAAAATGATGCATTTCCTGATTCAATGAGGAAACAACCCTAAGAATGACGGTAAGAAGTTTAAAGTAAGGGGTGCCTTCCTTTGTAAGAAAAAGTGTCATAGGATTCACTGGGTGATTTATTGAGTAAGAGGTGCAGAACTGGACTTCCTGCATATGTAAGTTTGACTGAAAGTCTTGCATTTATGATTATTTCTGTTTCCTTGGGCTGACATGTCAAAATGCCAACTGCACTCTAACTCAAATAAATCTATCATCATGTTGCACACAGCTTCAGAGAAAAAGAAAAAACCGTTGTTGTTTATGACAACAGAAAAACTCTTTTTTAAATCTACGTGAATGCATAAAACTAGGGGACTCCTTTATACTGAAAGCCCATAAGCTGTCCCGGAGGGACTGTGAAGTACATAATCACATATCATTCTGTTAGATGAAGACTATTCTCCTGAAAACACATTCACGGATCAGAAATTGTTCTTTTGGTTTATGGGGCTACTGCCTGCTCTTGCTTATTTTGAAATCAATGATAAAATTCATGTTCGCCTTAGTAGGAGAAGCCTGATCGTGAATTTTCACCTCTGCTCAAAAGAGAGCAGCTGGAGCCTGGTGGGATTTTCCTACTAAAGAAAAAAACAGCACTGAAAGCAGAGTACCACTTGCAGGAATAAAGAGAACATGAGCGCTGGCTAGCTAATAAAAAGATAACGAGCATCCTTGAAAACACTTACTAGAGGAGCATCAGTTCACGCATCATAAGGTGAGAAAACAACAAAACAAAGATCACGCAAGAATGCCATGTGTTAGCATACAGCTCCAATATGATACATTCTTATTGTTAAAGAAAACATTTTCCATTAGCAAATACAAACTATTCATAGTCCCGTTTAGCTCTCTGTAGACTAAGAAAATGGTGTAGTACATAAATGCCATCATTGCCCAACCTTCTCCCAGATTCACTCTAGCTGCTTTGAATGCACACTGTGGTGGGAACATCAGCATTGCTGTGATCCCCACCATCCCTCTGGTTAGGGCAGCACAGTAAATAAAATAAATTATTTAAAACAATGTCAGGACAATGCAGTTTAAGCTTTGTTTGCTTAGGGGAAATGCTTTGATACTGCAAATTGAGACAGAACTGTAAAGTGAGTTTCCCAATGCAATTATACTGTGTTGAGGGAAACTACTGAAAAAGGCACTGATCAGAGGAATGTCACAAAGTTAACCTGAAAGTTTTGGCTATAATTTTTAAAATCTTAGGATGACCATGTGATATTCGGAAGCCCAAATTCCAAAGAAACCATATCAAAATCAGGGATTCTTTCACAAAACGAAAATTAGAATTAACTTTGCTCAGTGCGACAGCATAAAAGGTTTCAGAACAACTGGTAACCAAGGTACACGAGCAAGCTCTGTGTTCTGTCCAGTACCTGACTTCTTGCCACGCTCAGCACAATGGCTTGCTCGGGTGAAAGCAGCAGCTGTCTGATTCCTTGCAGAACAAACCCCCGATGAGCACAGACTGAAATCACACTACCATATGCATGAGGAGATACCACAGGTGACACCGTCAAAATGATGTCCCCTAGATCAAAAAGAGGGTAAGAAAAGCAGCATATTAGTTCCACAGAATCTGTGGTATCAACACAAGGAAACTCTCATAGTGGCCGGCTCCAACTTGAAATACATCCCAAATGGTTACACGACGTTCTATGATGTGCTCTATCCAGCCCATAATGGCAGCTATCAGAGGCCAGATGAGGACAATAAAGCTTATGGTAACATTAATAATCTCTTTATGAATCACCTATTGCAGTCAGTCTGGCTCATCAGGTCAATCTAGCTATCTATGAGCTATTCATCTATCTCTGAAGCATCTATCTAGCTGTCTATGCCCTTAGTCCATGTGATAGCTGCGTGTCAGTCCCTGCCAGATCCAGTTTGGATCATTACCCCTCCAGCCAGCAATCTGACAGCAGTCAGTTCCCTGAAAGCCTAAGGACCTGACAAGCCTGGCCATGTTGGCAAGTAGCTAAATGAGTCCAACAAGACTAACTGGTGGTTTGTCTGCTATAAGATACATGAAGCAATCCCAGCCAATCCTCTCTGCTTTACTGGTGGTCCTTGTCTGCAGCTAGTCTCTACAATCTTGTTCAGCACTACCTTCTGCTTCCACTCATCCCTTCTTTAGTCCTGTCTTATATCCATCCCAGAGCCTGCCTTATGGCACAGGGTCTTGAATCTTTGGACCAGCCTCTGATCATGACCCCACCCCACTTTTCATTTTGGTACCACCTGTGGCTTCACAAGTTCCTGACCTTGGTCATAGTGACAATACCAGCCTGCTCTCTCCACCTGGGTTTCATTTGAGCATTATCCATGGGTCTGGCTGCCCACATTCTGCTTGCATCCCTTATCCCAGTAGATAAGGCTGTAGAAAAGGTGGAGTTTATGTTGGGTTAGAACCTTGGACTTGTAGACTCCTATTTTCTAAGCTGAAGCTGCAAGCTCAATGCCAACAAGATGGCAAAACACACTATCAGCATACTCGGGAGAAAGAGCGTACGAGACCTCCTGAGCAGTGTCTAAGCCCCACCTGAGGTACAGAACATTGCTCAAGGCTTTTCCCTGAAGCCTCTAATCTACCTGAGGTCCTTGCTTTGTTCTAGTCCTACCCTTGGTGTCTGGTCTCACCACTGCTTTCAGTATTATACTATTCTAGTCCGAATATAGCTTTTTTCTGTATGCAGTGTACATTTAGATCTCCATAACCTACTAAGAAAGAGCTTGAAAAGATATATGCTCAGTACCACTGCTACATGGGTCTCCTCTACATTGCCCTGTTAACTTTCCCTTGCTCCGATGAAATTATTTAACAGGGTTGGAAGTATTTTAGTCTCTGTGCCCTAATTACACTTGGTTTCTTGGGTAAAACTGTCAACAGTCAATGTTTCTTGCAGTTATGGACCTCTCTCCCCCAAGAACTAGACCAGGGCTTAGCCTGCTATTTCAAAGCAATGGCAACAGAAGAAGGGAAAGTTAGTGCTTATTACTAAGGACAGAACAGGCAGGGTATTTTTTGCTTACAATTTCAATATGGCTTTTATTTTGTATGTTCACACTGGCATTAGTGTCACAGAACTGTCAAAATTCACGGTTGCAGGTGATAAGTCTTTTGCCCCTCTCTAGTTGATAACACTTAAAATACCATATTTCACATACCTATATCCCAAAGTAACAAGCAGATTTCCTAGGGTCAGTAAAGCTTTGATTACTGTGAAGGGGCAGATATACCTGGTGGGAGCAGCAGTGCATTTGTTCTGCCTGCTCTGCACTGGTGTATCTTCCTCTCTCCCAGAGGGAGCTGCTGGAGACCTGACAGAAGGAGTCAGTGAATGTTTCCCTTCCTTAACACCCCTACAGGGTTACTGCTCCCAGGCCAGCTTTTCAGAGTCATGATACAGTTATCTATCTGAGGAGCAAAGCTTGGAAGTGACTTCCTGAGCCCAAATACAGATGGAACGTGGTGTGGTGTAACTCAGCAGCCCACATCAAATGTGAATCATTAATGGCCATAAAAGGAAGGGGAGGCAGAAAATGTGACTCATTCCATCAGCAGCAACCAGCTGCCATCAATACCAATCCCAAATAACATAGAGTCAATGGCTGCCTGCCAAGCTACTTGAGTTAACGTGCCCACTTATACCACTGAGTGTAGCTCAAAGGTGAGATTTCCTTCCTATCCTTTTCTCTTCTCTATTTTTTTCTGTCATCCTCTCTGTCACTTTTTCTTCCTTTCCTGTTTTGGGTTTATGCCTTCATTTTTTTCTCATACTTTCTTTCCTTTGACAATTTAATTTTATGTTCATTCTTCCTATGCCAGTGCAACCCTATTTTCCTCCTGCCATCTTCTCCCTGACAGCTGCTGAGCTTCCATACCCTCTTTTTTTTTTTCCTGTGGAAATACCTATACTTGTGGGAGTAGAAACAGGATAGCAATGCTCTAGTAGCACTGTCTCAAAACCACTTGTGCTTTAGAGAGCTCCAACTTAAGAGAGACTCAACTACAGGAGATTGCCAGCACATTAGTCTGACTATATCAGACACCCTCATAGCACACAGGTCCTTCTTAGCCTGTAAGAACTGTATGCCTTGGCATGCCTTGAACACAGTCAGCTTGCTGGTAGGAATTCAGATACTGGAAGACTACTCCTAGAGCTAGTTAATATTAGCTCTATAAAACGCTTTCAATTCCAATCGGGTGGTCAGCCATGGCCTGAGTGAAGTCTCAGCCATTTCATACCCTATGATGATTATATTCACCTCCTGACCAATAGAGGTAGATGATCTGTAATCAGATAAATATGCAGTTTAAGCACACTGTTAGCTCTTCACAAAAGTGTTTGCTTGACAAATATGCCCCTATGAGCAGAGACTTCCTGTTTTTTTAAATCTTTCAGTGAAATCTCCACACGACTCTAGCAGCTACTCCCATGAGGAGGACAAGGTGATGATAACGCTCCTCTATCCCTTCGTTTTAGGCAATAACGTTTCACCGCAAATTCATTCCTGGCTCTAGATCTGGCCAGGTCACAGCACTGGGACATCCAGGGAGACAAATTTCCTGAAACAGGTGAGCTAGAGTAAGAAAATAATGTCAGTGAAGAAGCATTGTAAAACCTCAATATTTGTTCCCTATCAGTGACCTTTGGTGGTTGCAACGAGCGTTGCTGGAGGTTGAGACAGCACCGTGCCCTGCAGATGAACCTTTTCTTCCTCAGCTTCTGCTCTAGTTGATGAAGGACTCTGAGGTCTAAAGAAAAACAATAAGTATTAAAAGCTGTTATGCCAGGTTTTGACTCCAACCCACTTTCTGCAACAAACCCAGGACCATGGAAACTTCTCTGGTAAAACTGCTTTACTGGAAAAACATTTAATTCCCTTGTACCTGACATGAACTGCATCAAGGTCTCTCTGACTGAATATTTTTCTCTATTACCCATCTGAAGCTCTTCATGTTCAATTAGAAGTAGGTAATGTAAAGTGGCCAGCTTGGCAAGGAAACGTGGGAATCAAGCAACATGTCAGGCTATATTGTCAAAGCTTTTCCTACCCGCAGGTAATGTCTTAGTTGCTATTCACTTTTGGTCCTTTAGTCAGAGTTTAAGTAGTTTTAAAGCTATTATGATACTCCTCTGGCATTTCATGTTGGGCAACAAGCACAACCTAGTCTGGCAGAGATGTTTAAGGACAGTTTCACATCTACAGCATACCCAAAAGGATCAAATGATGGTATGTGAATATAAGTTGTGGTTCTGAAGGCCAGGGACTGAAATTAATGCAAACTACAGTCTGTGAAACAGTTTGACTAGGTCTGTGAAGTGCAAACTGCTCAGGTAAACCTGCCTGCCTCATCCCCTGCCACTGAGTAGGCCGGTATACCTCCTGCTTGTTCAGTCCCAGTAGGCCAGCAGAAGCTGCTGGTGTTTGCAAGTGAAATCTGAAAAACTGAAAACTGATGTGCAGTATGTATTCTGGTCTCCCAATGGACAAAATTATCAGCATTAAGATAAGCACATTATTCAGAAAGTAGCACCTCTCTAGACTGGCTAGGTTATACCACAGTAGCAAAATTCATCATCTTTCTAAGAGGAAAATCATCACTAGGGAAAAAAAAAAGGAAAAAAAAAAGAATGAAACTTTGCCAAACTGATTTTTCAAATCTTAGAAGTAAAAATGATGAGAGTCACTGTCCATGGCCATGCAGAACTGAACTCTGACACACAACTTCATGAGGGGGAATCTCTGTATGAGCATTAGATTATGGGTATGCTTTGCCTCTCTGCAGAAAAGCACCATGAGAACTGCAGATTACTTAAGATCTGGCCTAATGCCACTGATAAAGTGGCAGATCTTTAGAAACCTGTCCAGAACTTCCAGGTGCATGGACCTTGTCTGAGCTCTCTGCAGGGGAGTTTCACCACAGCATCATTTATTCAGTTCAGTAATATTAAAAGGAGATGCTCAGAGCCTGAAAACCCCAGCCTAGAGGCTAGTATCCCACATAATTACACAGGCCTGTGTGACAAATATGACAGCCAGGGAGAGACAGTCTGCAGTTTCATATTCTCCTGATCAGCAGAACCTTCTTTCAGCCCTAAGCCAAAGCTTTCCATGAAACCCTGTAAAACAAATGTTTCAAACCATAGTAGCTCCATCTATGCTTGGAACAGCCACAGAAGTGTCTCCCAGAAGACAACAGAAGACAAGTACCTCTTCTCTTCCCCCTACAGGCCAGCATACTCTGATCCTTCTTTGTAACGGTATGAAGAAAGGGATCTCTGAGCACAGCAGAACCCTTCATTTACATATTAAATGTGCTTCCTGGATTCTTATGGCTGAGTCTCAGCCCAGAAAATTGTAAGACTGTCAGGAAGGTAAGTGATTGTTTCACACTGCAGAAAGTGCTCATCTTCATCATGGAAAACCCCCTAACAGCTTTAGAAAGAGTGCTGCAAGAGCATCCACGCTACCCATCCAGCCTTCCCTCTGCCTCTCTGCAAGGGGAGATGATGTGTGAGGACTGCTCAGTACTGGCTTCCACCAAGCTGAACAGAAGCTTTTTCCTTTTTTCAGCTTTTCCCTGGTGCAACTCTGCTCTGCTGAGCAAGGCCAAGAGCAGACTTTCTGGCAGCCTAATATCAATGTTATAAACGAAGCAAGTTTAAGAATAAAAACTGTTAGCTAGATTTTGGTTTTCTTGGACAGAAATGGATTTAATGGGAAGCTTTGGGGGCTGCAGTCTCTTCCCTGGAGCACTACCCAGCAGAGCACAGGTGCTCTAGGTTGCATGATAGAGTAATAGCTGCTTAATGGCTCAACTCGCTCTGCAACCATATCCAGCCCCATCTGAGAACTAGACTCCTGAATCTCACTCATTCCCAACACTTTGTAACACCCTGTTGCTATGCCATCAGTTCCTAAACTGTGCTTCTCATGCCGTTTGCTAGCATTAAGATTTTCTAAGCCACCCTTCATTTTCATATCCTTTTGTCCAATTCCTCCAAAGAACCTTTTCCATTTGAAAAACCCAATGACCAATCAGTTTACATGGAAGGGACACAGGGCAAAGCTATTCCTGGAGACAAGGATTTCCGGCAAAGGGCCCCTCAGTGACACACAACCTTGCAGCCTTTTCTCCTGCTCCAGCTGCAGCTGGAGTTGATTTCAGATCAGACTGATCAGCTGTATCAGCCACAGAAGGTCCAAGAGCAGGTGCTGCAAATGTATGAGGTACAGGCCAGAGAACAAGTGATGGGAGGCAACCATGTGAGTCCCATGCCCCATGCCTGACACCTTGATATATCTATTATCTGTTGCAGAGGAGATCACCCTGTGAGAGAAGGACTTTCACAAACTGTAGTAACTTATCTGGAAATGCAGGAATAGACAGATGCTCCCATCCAGCACTGTTGTTCACTGAGACCCTTTGCTAATGATTGATATGTAAGGACTAAGCACGCTAGCTGTTTGCCCGCCTGGTCTCCATGACATGCTCCTTCTGGGAGAACTACAGTAGCTCAGAAACACGCAGGCCAGGACCATCACCTTGCTTTGTTATATCTGCAAGCCAGATTCAGGACACCAAGATGCAGTGCTGCATCAGCAGCCCTCCCTCCAAACCACAGGCATAGCTCCCTGTGCACACGGCTGTCCAGGTGGGGAAGGTAGGCAAGAGGCTCCATTCGGCTCCTGCAGTAGAGGGCATTGATGGAAGTGCAGTCCGTCACGCTGGCCAGCTGCGGGTCAGATGGTCCCATGATATTCCGCAAGGTGCTGCATGCTTTAGGCCCTCTCGTGCCTAATGCCAGCACTGGTGGCACCTCACTAGTCTCTGGAGTATAGGAAGAAGGCAGATCTTCTGTGAAAGATAAACACATGTGTGACTAAAGCACGGTGCTCCAAGCTGCTCCCAGCTCATTTATTCCTCTGCTCAGTTGAGTGACAATTTATCAGTAATTCCACTCTCATATTTTGCCAAGGTGATAGCTTATTTACCCATCTAAGGGAGCTTTTGCTCTGTCATGCTAGATGAAGACAAAATAACCTACTGGTTACCTATCCTGAGGGTGTTATGCTGTACATTTTTACCCCATAGTAAATCTGAGATAATTCCAGGTAGTTTATCTGTCCAAGAAAAATGAGTGGGTTGCCATACATTTGCTGTGGGGAAGGGTGTGCACAGCAGTAGTTACTACAGAGCAACTGATAGAAGTTAACACTTTAACTTCTCGTGCCATATCTTATTCAGACCCACAAGGAAGGCTCGTGGGATTGAAGGGGAGACAAGGCAAGAATCTGAACTTGAGGAGAGGGATGTCTTCTGTAATTTTCATCAGACAAGGGAAAACTGAGAAAGGGATCACCAGCTGGAAGTCTGTGGACATCTTTTCCAGTTTATCTCCTCCTAGATGAAATGCAGATTTTACACTGTGTGCAATGACATCTTCAGACAAGTATTGAATTATCTGCCTTTATTTCCCTGCTATGACTTGAACTCTGGCTTCCCTTATTTCCTGCCACAGCCCTCTCTTACATCTCTGGCAAATCCTTTTCCATGTCTACTGTCAGCATAGTTGGGGTTCAATAAATAAAATCAGAAAAAGAGTATGTTTGGATCTGCCACAGTTCTTATTGCAGGTATTAGAGGCAAGGTGTGTCATTCTCTGCTCTGGGGTTTAAACATATTCAGTTACATCATTTGTTGCATAAGAATCAAAAGCCAGAACAAAAGATCTCCAGAACAGGTAGATAATGGAGGAACTGACTGTAAATATTTAAAATCATCACTTTAAAGTTTTCAACCTAAGCGTAAAAATATAGTTTACAGACTTGCATAGCAGTTCTCAACTCAGACGAATTTTCCCTTCATATGAGGTGTTCCTGATGCACCCTGATATGTACCCTGATAATGTGCAGGGTACAAAGCACTGAAGTAGATCTGCTGCCTGTCTTCTCTCAAAGACTTTACGGTTTTCTTATTCATTTCTGAAGTCCTTCTTCATTTCTCCAGCTATCAGTATGAATGTATTATGTACACAGTGCTGAGACAACTGCAACTGCAATCCCATTTCTGAGCCAGTCTGCTCCTACTGTTTTCAAATGTAAAAAGGGGGCAGGGAGACTGCAGAATTTTTCTCTGATTAAGCTGGTCTTCCCTCTTCTTCGGTCTAAGCAAAAGGAAACCTGTTTCTCTCAGTTTTAACCTGCCCATAACATTCCCCAAGAGAAACGGATTAGGTATATACCTGATTTGATGTCACATGCAAGCCTTCCAGGAGAATTCCTTGGCTTAAAGGAAAGTATAAGCCATACTGCAGAGGCAGTCTTTACATTTTGCAGATAACGCAATGGCTGTTGTTCTAGGGTTTTATTGCATGAACAATTAATAATATTCAACACACTTTGAGACAGGTTTCATTGTCTCTGTTTCATAAATGAACTGAATACCTGAGTGGTGCAGGCCAATATTTGCAAACATTGGTTTCTAATGTTAAAGGCTTAGGGATCTGACTTCAGAGACCTGTGTTATTTTTGTTTGGCCTTATCTTCTTGGTGATTCATCTCAGGCCATCTTATACAGGCGTACTATGACATTTTGATGATGGCTTATCATCCAAAGCAATTACAGGATGGCCAGATCAGTTGTCTTCTTTTAGGCAAAGTGCTCTTTTAGTGCTCCTAAAGGGCAAGGAAGGACTGAAGACTCAGAGACAATAGGGGACTAAGGAAGAGAGAGGCTGGTTTCTCTGTAACTGAAACCTCCAGGAAAATCAGTGGGAGGTAAATTAACATATTTAACTCACATGAACCTAACCCTGCAGCTTATAGCAGTGCAGTCTGGGAAATCTCTGCAAAGGAACAACAACTAAAGAGGCTTGAGATACAAAAAGATACCAAGAGATAGAAATACAACTCATGGATATTCCAGCACTGGGAACAGACAGAAACAGCCCAAGGTCTTATCTCTTTTCCAAAAGAAATGATAAGGGCATTGATAAATTGTATCAGATTGTAAATCTGATATCCTCTTCCCCATGCTCACAGCACCATGCAGCTCTTCACCTTAGTACAATTACAGAGCTTCCCCTTCACCTCAGTACCGTTATATGGTGCAATCTTGGAAGGAAAACTAGACCTCACCTGAGCTAGAGAGCAGCACATCATGCTGAGGATAGAGCAGGCGGAGTCCACAGATATCCAAACCAGAACTGAGAACCAGCTGTAACATGTGATGGATAGCTAGGGGACTTCGGAATAGAGTTTCAAACAGCAATACCATAGCAACCTGAACAGCAAGAGCACATAGGAGAAATGAGCCAAAAGCTTCCAAACCCACAGCATTCACAGAGCTGTATCTCTTCTCCTCACCTTTAATTCCCATGTCTTATCTATTTTTGTAGGAGCCACAAAGAGGCTTTCTTTTCATGTATGTTTACATGCAGCTGAACACAGTAGGCTTTTTGCCTCAGATTGGACCATAATAATAATCTACTACTACTAATAAAATTGTGCCTTTTGTCATATAAACCTACTAGTAAAAGACTGCAGGTTCTCTGGGGCAGAGAATGAAATGTGTCAGTGCTGCTGTTTAACTGTGCGTATTACAGAAATTCAGTCAAATAATAAGCCAACAGGTTGTTTCTTTATACCTATAAAAGTGCCAAAACCAACATAAGAAAAGAATCGAACAGCAGACACATCACTGGTACTGTCACTAATTCATATTTTGAAGTCTTCTTTTCCAGATGAATCCAATTCAGCTCATCCTGTCGTACAGGAAGATATAGACTGACACATACTGAATCTATCTACCCAAAAGGGAAGTAAATCATTCTGAGCTCTGCACTTTCCCATCAAAAGAAACGTATTGTTTCAAGAAGCACATGCTTTACGACAGGAAGCTGTGTGCTACATGATACTCTGCAGGTAATACATTGTCTAGCTGTAGATCAGGCAAGCATGATTGTACTGGCCTCAGATTTGTGCATGGTTCTCCTGTCTGTAGAGAGACACAATACTCTCCCCAGCAATGAGCTTTACTGCTGCAGTGAATGCCAAATGAATTCATCATTGCTGGACACATTAAATGAAATGCTACTCGTCCATAAACACATAATGAGGCTTATAACATCGTGACAAATGAAGTTCTAAATCTACCCAAATCATAAAAAAGTAGTCTAACTAGGAATAAAAGCTCTGTTTCTTTCTATTCATCCAGGTCTACTCTCCTGATATTAACCTATTGTTCATAACAGCCAGTAAAGAAGGATTTTTTTTCTGTAGCTGCTATGAGGGCCCTGAGTGTATTCCCCTGCCCCTCGGGATTTGGCTGCCTGGGCTCAAAGCCAGCTTTGTAACGCAGCTGTCCAGTGTTGAGAAACCTTGGCAGAGACCTGTCTCTCCTTCACTTGGGAGCTGCTTTTAAGCTCAGGCACTTGGCCATGGTGCCTGAGCTATGTTGCAGGTATGCCTGTGCCCAGTCTTATACCTCCCTGATTCTGGCCTTGATCCTAACCTGCTGACTTGACTTTTTGGCTTGCCCTCATCACTATGGACTCGCGGGGCAACCACTGGACTCTTGGCTGACCCTGGTTACTGCTGCTGGACCCGCTCCGCTACTCTTGCTTGGGTAATGTGGAATTGCACCCCTGCCAGGGAGGTCGCTGGCCCTGCCTGCCTTACTGTTAGTCTCGGCTCTTGGCTTGCTGTCCCTTACAGAGCATCCTGTCCTTGCTGTGAGAAGTTCTGTATAGGCCCAGTAGCATCATTCCTAAGGCAAGGTGAGAAATTGTAATAAAGACATTATGAGGGATTTCTTGACTGTGCCAAGTGCCGAGTATCTTCACATCCCAATTGTGGGCTTGGACCATCTTCCAGGAGCAAGCCTGTCACATGCTAACCGTTCTCAGTGACTTAGACTCGCTACGTGTTCAGGAAGAACATAAGATATTTGCGCCTTCCTGAACCGATGTTAAGAGGAAACTGAACTCTGTCTGGTCAAACAGCTATGTTCTGTGCTGTGCAAGAGCTAAGAAAAATGAGTTACCATAGTTAACAAATTATCATAAGTGGGTGGCAGTCCAGTAAATTTTAAGCATGCATGCCAAACTGAGGCAAACGCAAGTTAAATTACCATAACCTTCCCTTCTTCTGGGCTAAGCTAAGTAGAATCAGTTTCTGTTTGTTCATACAACGCACGCACAGTTACAACTCTGGTAGATAGTGCCATAAGCTTCAGAAACTTTTATCATGTTTCTGAGCCCAGTTTTTAGACAAGTTGCGTAGCATATTGGTTTGCAGTCAAGTGGATTTGGGTTATCAAAATTTGGCCACTGTTGCTGATTTGCACCTGATTGGTAGCAATTTCTTCAACCCATATCTTTCATAGTTTAATTTTACAAGACTCAGAACAATCAGTATTGAAGACACAAAACAGTCAGCTGAAACGTTTAGGTCTCAGTGAGAAATACTTCAAGATTAGTATCAGTACCAAACCTAAGGATTGCAATAGTCCAGGTCATTTTTAATCGTCTCAACTTCCCATATCATTCCACAAGTCAAAAAGGAGCTTTTTTTACCTCAGTGTCTATATCTCTGCTAGCCTCGACGTCGCTGCTGTTAGGGAAGTACTCTTCATCGGTTTCTACTGTCTGCCAGTAAAACCCAGCTGGCACTGCAAACACCTTCTCCACTGCCTGAAATGCACAAAGGACATCTCTTATTTGTATGTTATCTTGATCCCTCAAAATCAAGAGCGAAGAAAAACAGCATAGTTAATATGACAGCCAGAGAGCACATAAGGTGATAATGGATTATTCTCATTAGTCCAGTGTTATTACCACATTGTTTGTTTTATATCTGTTCCATCAGCTCGAACTAAATGACATCCTAAGAATATGAATCTGCAAAGGCATCCTGAGAGCCTGAAGAGTTCCAAGGTCTTCAATGTGCACAGAGCCCACTGACATGAATGGGAGTTACATGCAAAATGCACTGCAGTACCAGGCCCAACAGCTTGAGCTTGCGATTGTGCTGACCAACTGGCAGAAGAGGGCTTTGTAAAGACAGCACTCTAATTAACTAACCCAAGTGAAAGGGTAGGGAAAGACTTGTACGAATTTTTACATGCCTGTAACAAAAACAGTAGGTTTCTCCTGTGTTCATCTCACCACAAGTGCTGTTATCTGCAAGTCCTATTGTACCAAATACTCATACATAGGCAAAAGACACTAGCTGGCCTTTAGGCCACAGCACTATACAAGTGTGGCATTTCTCAGTCTCAGCACCAAGCAAGCAACTTGCACAAGTGCATGTTTAAGGATTTATCACTTATGAAAATCTGCTCTGACTCCATGCTTAGTAAGCAAGGCTGCAGCCCCAAAAAGAACACAGCTTTTGAAAGTCATGTTAGCCAAGTTCTGGTTCAGGGAAAAAATGATGTTCTTGGTTATGCCATTATTGAGCACTCCAGAAATACAGAGTTATTTAGGCAGACTTCACATTGAGCAGAATTTTTTCCAAGATTAAAAAAGTGTCACTTCCGGGACACCAGCTCACGTGGTGTAAATTGGAGTAGCTTCACTGTTTTTAAAGTTTCTACTTTGACTTACTGCAGTCCTGAGCCTGTCCTCACCTCACACGTTTTTCTTCAGACATTAGTAAAACCTTTTCCATAGAAAGGAAATTAAATTTCAACACGGTCTCACGAAGACTTTTATTATGGATAGAGGATAGACTAATTAAATGAAAAAGTGTCCATTCTGGATTATGAGGTACATATAATGCCATTTAATTGTGCAATCACCTGAGAAATTTTTTGGGCTGCTGGGCAAATGATAGGCACATCATACATTTCTACACGTTTTTAAAAACAACAACTAGAACAATACATTAATTTGAATAATATTAAAACCCCTCTGACATCTGATTGCTCCTTTCTGCTTCAGCAGCCTTTTGCGTTTTCTCCGTCCTATATTTCCTACGCTTCAAGAGATATTTGAAACAGAACGAGGGATTTGACATTTCACCTGATTTCAGTCAACAAAACTCCACTGAAGTAAGTGTTTTGACAGCTCTCAAGGATTTATCCTTTTTTTTTTTCCTGCAATCCATTGCTCACTAGCCTCTGCTTGTGACATTGCACTTAGTAATATGGAAAATATCACCATAGAAAAAAAAAAAAAAAGAAAGCACTGATGTAAGGAAATAAGAAGACCCCTTCTGGTTCCAACATTTGCTGCCAGCTCCTGCATGCAATACTCGCATGATGCAGTGAGCACAGAGAAAGACCAGAGAAGCCTTACAAAATGGGAATGTAACAAGACTCCAGTCTTCCATATAATCAAGCCGTTCCTTGGACAAACCTGAATTCTTTGAACTTTCAAGAAGATGGAAAACAGAAGGGACAGTTGCGGTCAAACCAACTCTAGCCTACATTTCTACAGAAACCTTCATCACAATTACCCAGCTCCAGTCACAACGCAGAGGATACAACTCAGGAACTCCAAGTCACAAGCTGACCTTTACGTAATACCACAGTGTCAGCTGGGGTAGCTGTGATCCTAGGCATGCTTCCGCACGGCTCACCTCCCCACTGTCAGAGAAGGGGACTGGCCACACCTGTTAGGGAAGCAAGGCCTGTGGAGATTGTTTCTATGATCTGTCAGATTGTATTTTCTACCAGCCAACCTGAATAGGATTTCACAAAGCAACAGAAAGTGAACCTCGAAAAGCCTTATTACTTCCTCTAGAAGAGCCTTTTCCTCAAGGGTAAGACCACCTACATAGAAAACTGCAGCATCACAGGCCCTGCTTTGTCTGATCTAGCTAAAACATGCCAAGAGAAGACGACTCCTGACATTGCCTTCCTATGCAATGCATGCTTTATAATGGAACTTTCCCATATATTTAGGAGAGAATTACACCAATGCAGTTATAATGAGATGAGCCCTATTTGGCATATAACATCCAGTAAGCCCTCCCCCGCCCCGCCCCGCCCACGGCAGTTGAGTGACCCTACTCTTACTGAAATTATATCGATTTTGATGCCATTTATTTTTATGCTGCATTGGTGCTATTTTTCAGAGTTCCACACTGAGAGACAGGGAAGGCATCAGAATTGTATCGGTTTCACCTCAGGGCTGGTTCTTCCCTTAGTTACACCAATAACACTGTAACAGTTGTAAAGCTTCTGCGCAAACACAGCAAACGAGCAAGTCTCTTCCAGACTACCCAACAGATCACTGCTTAATGCCCACCCGCATCTTGACAGGGACAAGAAGGGATTTCCTCCCCATGCACCACTCAGAACGGAGCAGAGGGAGTCCAGCCTTCGATACCTAGCTGAAAATCTCTCTTCTGTAAGACTCTGCAGACACAGAGCATTGTAATCACCTGTCTCATGGCACAGGCATTACACCAGGAGAGAAAAGTACCCTACAGTCAGCCAGTGGAAGACAGAGCAGCCCTGGGGATACTTTGGCTTATGCTGTCACAGGCTTTGAAGCCTTAGATCATTTCACCGTAACCATTTCCATGACTGGGTCTCTCCCACTCTGCTGTAAGAAAGCAGGGTTTCTTCTAGCACTGAAATCTTCTCCAACCATATCATTACTGTCAGAAAGAGGAGGAAGAGAAGGGCATGTCCATAACTCTGCATTTGAAGGCATTCTTTGTTTTTCTTGACAATCCTTTTTCTTATTTGTTCTCTGGTAGACAAATCCTGATTTCTGCTACCCTAAGACTGTGGAAAAGACTGATTAATACCATAGCTAGGACTGAATACACATATCATTTTTCAAAAAGTGTTAAAAAACAACCCAGAGCCACTCTTTGTTTCAGATTGCTGAGGTGAAGCCATGCAGTTATAGGAAGGAAATTCACAGCAGAACAAAAACATCTTGTAAAATATTGAGCAGAAACAGGAATAAGAACATTTTAGAGAAGGCTGGAACTCGCATTTCACTGGAGCTGCGTACAGCGAAAACATGAATATTTAACCATCACATAGAAATATGACCAAATCTAATATCTCTTCTTGTTTACAGTATATTCTGTTCTCATTATATTCTGTTCTCATTTCCAACAACAAAGAAATGGCTTTTGCTATCAAGTGATCAGGAGTCTTTTAAGTCAAATGAGAGTCTTCTAGGCTGAGGAAAGTTTCTCAGCTACAGTGGGAAAGAAGAAACTGCAGAAAGGAATCTCTCTGTACTCCACAGTCTCACCCCCTTGCACTCAAAAATTAACTCAGCCATTATCACTATGGGACAACACCTAAATCCCCTTGAGCAAAATGCTGTCTCCTCCATTACCTCCAGAGACAGACTGTGAATTCTGTATGTGTATATCCTTTCCCTTTCAACTCCACGTGAGCAAGGCTCATGTTCTGTGTGATACGCTAAATCATGCCCCTGAATTAGGCTGCATTATAACTTAAACTCTCTCCTCTCCCTGCTGTCATGAATTCCAATGTGTTAGTGTAGAACTTGCAGAATTCAGATTGACACAAATTTGTTTCCTTTGTGCACACCTTTCCTTCCCTCTTGTGCATGCTCACTTCAGTTGGCTACAGAATTTAATTCGGGAAATGTGAAAGCACAGTAGGAAGACCCCAGGGAGCTGGGGCATTTGTGACTGAAGATGTACAATTTTGGTGACTGTAGTTTAGGAAGTTTGAAGATGCATCTCACTTTCTTTTGCCTCCATTTCACAGAGGGAAAGA